CACTTGTGCAACAAATCACAGTGGCTGAACAGGAAAAGGAAAGGGAAATCTATGTCTTCTTCAAGATGATGCATTTGACCATGCACTGCGTGGCAAGGAAAAGCCGGCATGGAAAGCCTTCCAGTTAGTGGCAATAAATTTTCTCGGAAACAACAAGGCAGACAACTACAGGTTGTTGGTGGAAAACCTCCTCAAGGCATGCAAAAGCCTTGGTTGCAACATGTCACTAAAGAAACATTTTTTGCACTCTCATCTAGATCTTTTTTCCACCAAACTGCGAAGCAGTGAGCGACTAGCACGGCGCGATTTCACCAGGACATTGCAACAATGGAGAAACGCTATCAGGGCAAATGGAGCCCATCAATGCTTGCAGACTATTGCTGGACAGTGACAAGAGATGCTCCATTTAATGAATACAAAAGACAAGCCAAGAAGCGCCGAGTAGACACTGAATAAGACTAAACTATGTACATAATAGTTTTTTGCCTTTTGTTTCATAATAAATTTTATTTATATAACCCTTTTGCTGATTTTTAAAGTGTTACATAAACAGGACAGGTGAAATATTATCATGTAAAGCAAACATAAACACATGAAAAGACCTAGGTTTACAATTTATTATTAAAACTCTACTACTATCTATACAATATACACAGACATAAAATGTAAATACTTAAATATCTTAGAAACAGTAGCCAATCAGTTGTTTTAATTGTCATATTTGAATTCAGCACATCAAAATACATAATAAATAGCACATTTTATCTCTGAAGCAGACGACTTCTCAAAAATTGTAGACCAGTGTTATCAGAACGTGCTGAGCACCCACCTTCTGAAAACATGGTCCTTTAAGACAGTGAGGCACCTATAATCTAGTCACTCTTGAAAATCTTGGCCTTTATCCTTCTGCGTTTTAGTTAATCCATCTGTAAAATACTAGCATACCTCACCAAAATGTTGTGGGTCTTATGATTTTAGTGTACTTTGATATCCTTGGATGAAAGATGCTGTGTGGGTGCAGAGTATTAGTAATAATAATTATAGGGGCTGATAAAATGTCCCATAGAGAAGAGTTGCAGGGGGGTAACCCAAGCTCTGAATCTTTACACTACTGATGTTTTATTGTGATTTTTCTTAGAAGTTGGACATAGCAGTATGTGGATTTCAACGGATTCTGCAACATCTGTTCTTGAGCCTCTGAAAGTAGTGTGGGCCAAATGCAGTGGATATCCCTCCTATCCAGCACTGGTGAGTGTACAGCATACCACCAGTATTACACTGAAACTTATTTCACTATTTCCAAAGTCTGTACATAAATGGACCCATAAGATCTAATGCAGAGTTGAGCAAAAGTGAATTTTCACTTTACCTTACTTATAGTATTTTCCATGAACCTTCAGTATACAGAATTTGTACAATAGCAGACAATGACATCGTGGGCTGATAGTGAGCCACCATAAATGCATCCTATAGGATTCAGAATACCTGTCTTGTAAGCAAAATAGAACAGCATGTTTTGTACAAGAGAATAGGCAAATTAGAATAAACAGGCTGAGTTTCTATCAGTACAGGAACTGTATGCTGTCGTCTGCTGCAAAACAAGTGTAAGAAAATTCTATTTCTGTAGCTCTTTTGGCTTATACAAAAACAAAACAAAACAGGATCTGCATAACAGTTAATTCCAGTAAATTAACAACTTTAGATGGATAATACACAGAGAAAATACTATTTCGTGCAATGACTAGTCAGCCTCTGGTGTTCAGTATTATGAGAAATTGTTCAAATACTGTGGCTAGACTTTTAAAGTAGGGTAGATAATCTTATGGCGGTTAATAGTAGGTACACACTAGAAAATGGTAACTAACTCTCCTGATTCCTTGTGTTTGCTGAGCACCTCCAGGGGCTAGGAAGGAATTTCTCCCTCGATCTCCATGTTCAGCATTGCAGAATTAACTAGTTGCATATTGGGTGGATTTTTGCCTTCCTCTGAAGCATCAACCATTGATCATTAAATAAAGGCAGAGAACTAGACTTGAAGACAGATAGGCTGATCGGGCATCATAAACCAATAGCCAAGGTTTTCAAATGCAGCTACTGATTTTTGAGCTATGTTTGTCTCAGTTTTAGGGTGCCCAATCTGAGACATCTTTAAAATGGCCTAATTTTCAGAAATTGTCAAATCACCCACATTCTGAAAATCAGTCCTCCTTTTAGGTGTCTAAGTTTGACACCAAAACTTGATACATGAAATATCACTAATTGCTTTTAAAAATCTTGGCCTATGTTTCTAAACTTATTTGTGAATTTGTCAATTGTATTTTAGTGTTCTGAATTTGTGATCTCTAAGGGCTTTTCTACGTGCAGCATGGCACCAGTTAAGATATGATTTAAACTGGTTTAATTAAACGAAGTTTAAAATGCATTGTGGACATTCTTATTTTGCTTTAAACCAGGTTTATTTCAGTTTAACTTAAACTGCTTAGGAACAGATATAAGCTAAACCAAAATAAGATTGTTTAATTAAATCAGTACAAGTTTGTGTAGACAAGGCCTAAGTTTATACACATTGTCTGTTTGATTTGTATAGTATTTTCTCATTAAATACATTCATAATAAAGAAACCTTTAACTATTAGTGAACACAGATTTTAAAAAATTAGGAATTGTTCTTTTTTTCCATTTTGTAGATTATTGACCCTAAGATGCCTCGTGTTGCCGGTCATCACAATGGTGTTACAATACCAGTGCCACCTCTAGATGTATTGAAAATTGGAGAACAAATGCAGACCAAATCTGATGAGAGGCTTTTCTTAGTTTTGTTTTTTGACAATAAAAGAAGTTGGTATGTATAGTTATTTAATCAAATGTAAGAACCATCTAGTTTAATGCACTTATTTATAATCCAAAGTAATAAGCCATATTTTAGTTTTAAAAGAAAGTTGAAACACCATTCTCTCCCCATATATAAACTGTAATGTGTGTTTAGCGTTTCTGAATATGATGTTGGAACCAGACATCTTGCTAAAAGACACTTATTTACTGCCAATTTGGAACAACAACATGACTATAAACTAGATATTATCCTTCCTTAGTACAGGTTTGGTATCAGAACAATCATTGTTTTGATATTGGCATATTAAAATTCTTCCATTGATTGCAAAACCTGTTTAGAGGATGATAAAGACTACATTTCTGTGTATATCTATCTCTTCATCTGAAATATCTGACTTTATTTGAGTGATGGTCCTTACTGTTTTCCACTGAGGGTTACGTGCATGCACTCAGAGCCAGAGCTTTTCAAAGTAGTATTGGTTGGTGGTCCAGTCAGGCGCCCTTGTATTCCCTCGTAGTTTTGCCTGAGGCGATAAAGGGCAGGGTGGACCGGCCACGTCTCCAGTTCCTTCTCACTGCTGCATGATCCAAGTTGTAGCTTCCACTGACCTGTCATTCTTAGTGACAGATTTTCAATTTTTTTTTATACAAAAAATGTTCTTATTTTTGTTCATAGTTAAGATTTTATTGTTTTTTGTTGTACTTTGGTAATTTCCATCAGTTTTTATAATTGAGGACTTGGGACGCTTTTTCCTGCCAAACATTCCCAACCCTCGTGTCTGGGTACTGGATTATGCCAAAGATGCCAGGATTCCAAGTCTGTGCTTCCTGCCCTCACTCCTTTTCCATCAGTAGTGAACACCAATGCTGTTTGTACTGGTTGGGGGAAGTCCACAATGACTCCAGATAAAGTATCTGTCTCTCTTTCCTTTTCCATACATGGGAAGGCCAAGCTCTCCTCCTCAAGAAGCACCTCATGGAGGTAGCCATGGTCCCCAAGTTGGATCCTGGCTGGGGAATCTCCCTTACATCGGCAGAGCCCTCCCCCAACTGCAGAGCCTCCTTCCAGATACGCTGGTACCAGTGCTACCGACCCTGTGATTTGTTGGTCCAGAGACAGGTGCCTTTACCGGTTCCGATCCCATCAATAAACCAGATACCATTGACTCCAGGGAGAAGCGGAAGCGCTCCCGGCCCTCACAAACTGCTCGCCCTGGAAAGAGCGAGGTCTATGTGTGTTCAGGTGCACTCATCTCCTGCGCTACATCTACCTCTTGCTGGCCATGCCTCTCTAACGCATTCCGTTCTAGTGGCTCCATCAGCACCGCCATTCATGCAAAAGTCCAACTCATCTGAATCCAAGAACCCGGAAGTTCAGCACAGTCCACCACTTCCACGGAAACAAGACTGCCAGAGGGTTCCAGCTGCTCCGTGACAGTTTCCTCCTTTGCCTTACCCAAGAAGCTGATATCCGGCTCCTTGAGCACAAGTATAACAGCAGTATCAACCGGATTGGTCATATTAGAGCTCATGGCCCCAGTATTTGCATTTGAAGCAGTCTCAGCTTGGGAGAACTCCTGTTTCACCAACCCATCCTTCATCCATTCTTCAGCTGGCATGCACCGGGTGGCATACCCCAGCCACATGTGCACTGACTCTTAAAGGGGCCTGTCAAGGCTGTATCCCCACTTTGAACTTTAGGGTACAAAATGTAGGGGCCTGCATGAAAACTTCTAAGCTTAACTACCAGCTTAGCTCTGGTCCACTGCCACCATTTCAATGGATTCCCTCCCTGGGAAGCCTTGAAAAACCTTCACCAATTCCCTGGTGAATACAGATCCAAACCCCTTGGATCTTAAAACAAGGAGAAATTAACCATTCCCCTCCTTCCTCCCACCAACTCCTGGTGAATACAGATCCAACCCCCTTGGATCTAAAACAAGGAGAAATTAACCATTCCCCTCCTTCCTCTCACCAACTCCTGGTGAATCAAGATCCAAACCCCTCGGATCTTAAAACAAGGAAAAATCAATCAGGTTCTTACAAAGAAGGCTTTTAATTAAAGAAAAAGGTAAAAATCATCTCTGTAAAATCAGTATGGAAATTAACTTTACAGGGTAATCAAATTTAAAGAGCTCAGAGGACTCCCCTCTCGTCTTAGGTTCAAAGTACAGCAAACAAAGATAAACACTCTAGTAAAAGGTACATTTACAAGTTGAGAAAACAAAGGAAAACTAACACGCCTTGCCTGGCTATTTACTTACAAGTTTGAAATAGGAGAAACTTGTTTAGAAAGATGTGGAGAACCTGGATTGATGTCTGGTCCCTCTCAGTCCCGAGAGCGAACACACTCCCAAACAAAGAACACAAACAAAAGCCTTCCCCCCCCCCACAAGATTTGAAAGTATCTTGTCCCCTTATTGGTCCTTTAGGTCAGATGCCAGCCAGGTTACCTGAGCTTCTTAACCCTTTACAGGGAAAAGGATTTTGGAGTCTCTGGCCAGGAGGGATTTTATAGTACTGTACACAGGACAGCTGTTACCCTTCCCTTTATAGTTATGACAGGGTCGAAAAAAGATACGTCCCCAAAAGGTTCAGAAATTTTATTTTCACACCCTCCACCTAACTCCTTGGTAATACAGGCTGTATCGAACGAAACAGCAACACCCACAGTCCACTCTGGCAGACGGAGGGGAAGAGACAGGACTACATGGGTCAAAAGGTTCTCTTCTCCTCAGATGGATTACAATTGTGGATCTCTAACTGCTTGGCACTGATGGCCAAGTATGACTTTATAAACTATGGCCGGATGGAGAAATTTGCAGATAAGCTACCTCAGCAGGATAGTAGTCGATTCCAAACAATTTTACAGGAAGTCAAGTTGGTCACCAGGGCCATACTTCAGGCTGCAGTTGGTTCAGTGGACACATCCTCGTGTGTATTGGCAACTGGAATTGTCATGAGAAGGGAATCCTGGTTACACTCCTCAGGTTTCCCTAGAGAGATGCAGAACACAATCGACAACCTTCGCTTTGACAAATCACACCTCTTCAACCAGAAGTGATTCCTTACACTCACTAACAGACTCTAGAGCAGGGGTAGGCAACCTTTCAGAAGTGGTGTGTCGAATCTTCATTTATTCACTTTAATTTAAGGTTTCGCTTACCAGTAATACATTTTAATGTTTTTTTAGAAGGTGTCTCTCTCTGTCTATATTCTATAACTAAACTATTGTTGTATGTAAAGTAAACAAGGTTTTCAAAATGTTTAAGAAGCTTCATTTAAAATTAAATTAAAATGCTGATCTTACGCCGCCAGCCTGCTCAGCCCTCTGGGTGTTGCGGGGGGGTGTGTGGTTCAGGGCAGAGGGCTGGGTGTTGGGGGGTGGGGGGAATTTGAGGTCAGGGCAGAGGGCTGGGTGTTGGGGGAGGGGACTCGAGGTCAGGGCAGAGGGCCGGGGTGTGTGTGGAGGTGCAGGGCACAAGGCTGTGTGTGGGGTGGAGACTCGAGGTCAGGGCAGAGGGCTGGGGTGTGTGGAGGTGCAGGGCACAAGGCTGGGTGTGTGTGGGGGTTCAGGTCAGAGTGCTGGGTATTGGGGGGCACTCGAGGTCAGGGCAGAGGGCTGGGTGTTGGGGGAGGGAACTTGAGGTCAGGGCAGAGGGCCAGGGTGTGTGTGGAGGTGCAGGGCACAAGGCTGGGTGTGGGGTGGGGACTCAAGGTCAGGGCAGAGGGCTGGGTGTGTGGGGGGGTTCAGGTCAGAGGGCTGGGTATTGGGGGGGACTCGAGGTCAGGGCAGAGGGCTGGGGGGGAGTGGAGGTGCAGGGCACAAGGCTGGGTGTGTGGGGGGGTTCAGGGCAGAGGGATGGGGCTGTGGAGGTGCAGGGCAGAGGGATGGGTGTGTGTTGGGGTGGGGGGGTTCAGGGCAGAGGGATGGGGGGGGTGTAGGGCAGAAGGCTGGGGTGCTCCCAACCCCCTGTCCTGAGCGGCTCATGGCAGGGGACTGAGAGGGATATGCCCTGTTCCGCCCCCTTCCCCCAGGCCCGTCCCTACCTCTCTCTGCCTTCTCTATGGAGCAGCGAGCACGCTGCACTCGGCTCTGCTCCTCTGGGAGGAGGAGGGGCCGGAATGCACCACATTGTGGGAAGAAACGGGGGAGGGGGGGAAGCTTGGCTGCCACAGGACCAAGCTTCTGCCTTCTGCCCCCGGAGGGGAGAGCAGTGGGCAGGGGGGCTGAGTGGGGCTGGGGGCCGCTCATCCCTGCGGGGGCAGGAGGCAGAAGCTTGATCCCGCGGCAGCCAAGCTTCCCCCCTGCCCCGTTTCTTCCCACAGCATGGTGCGTTCCTGCCCCTCCGCCGGCTCCTCTCACCGGGCAGGCAGTGTGCCACTCAAAATCGGCTCGCGTGCCATAGATTGCCGAACCCTGCTCTAGAGCCACCTTACGATCCTTGGGCATATATACGCCAGCACCAAAGAGAAAATTGTATCGCCCACCATGAGCCCAATGCTATTAAACTCCTCACTTTACCACCAACGGGCCTACAAACCTCCTCAGAAGAGCCCTAAGTTCACAGAGCCCGTCTGCCAGTTCTGGCAGCACAGACCTCTGCACAACACACTCAGTTAACATGAAAACAGTATTTCTGAGTGTGCCTGGAGAGCTATCAGCCACTCCGTACATCAGTGCTTCCATCCTCTATGCCTTTTGGGGATCATCTCAAATTCATTCTATCAGCTTGGAGAGCTGTAACAACAGACAAGTGGGTCTTGGACGTCATTTGACGCGGCTCCACCATAGAGTTTATGACAATGCCTCTTTTAAAAAAACACCTGGCTCTAGTCATTACTACCTAACATCGAAGAGTGAGCTGCACAGTCTCTACCCTATGCACTGAATTGGTGGTATTAAAATGTTGTAGCGTAAATGCAGAATGCAGGACTGATCAGAAGTTCATTGCTATGGAACTCCCTATTGGAGACCAAAACTAACACACGTTAGAATGTGGTGTAACCAAACTTTCGCAAAAATCTTTGTGCGATGATGGAAATTGAAGAATGAATAATTTTAAAAAAAATTCTACAGGTAAAAACAGGTGAATCTAGTAGTGACTGAAAACAATCCATTACTATCTAATCTAAGCCTGAGTTGTTTTAATACCTAGATATGATGTTGCATCAGACTGACTCCTATTAAAGTCAGTATTTACCATCAATTACAATCCTATGGTGCCTGTTGGATTTGTAAGTCTTGTAAGAGGCTGATGCTACTTGTGTCTTAAAACCCACGTTAAAAACACAGGTGTCCTATCTTTGGTAAGAATTTTGCTATTGGATTTTTTTTTTAAAGAGATACATTGTTTTGACACACTGCATGAGAAGCATTACGTAAGAGCTAGTTTAGTCCTATGTAAGGACAATCCTATTGATCTATGCTTTATTTAACCTAAGATTTATTTTATCCTGTTTATAGGCAGTGGCTTCCAAAATCCAAAATGGTTCCCCTGGGGATTGATGAGACCATAGATAAGTTAAAAATGATGGAAGGTCGAAACTCAAGCATTCGTAAAGCTGTGAGAATTGCTTTTGATCGTGCTATGACTCATCTAAGTAGAGTCCATGGAGAACCAGTTAGCGACTTCAGTGATATTGACTAACAAAGGTGCTACCAAGGCAAGAAACACACCACACATAGACTTGAACTTTATTAATAAACCTCATTGTGTAAAAGAATGTATTGACAATACAACTCCTTAATCATTGATTCAGTGGCTGAGTTCTGCAAACTTCAAACAGCTGAGCAGTTTCTCTAAATCACCATTGCCATATAGATTAATGATTTTATCATCGTGTTGTAGTTTGGAGGATTTTCCACTAAAGCTGTTAAAATGTCTTGTTCATAGTGTTCATAAATTGTACATATATGTATATTCAACACTTAACTTATTCTGATTTTAGAGGTAGCTCTTTAATTCCCTTTTTTAATTTTGATGGGGAGAGAGTAGGTTTTCATTTCCATGTTTTTTACATATTAAAAAAAAAAAAGTAACGTACATAAGCACCATCTTCCAGCTTAAGGTGCTTAGTGAATCTTAAAGCCTAATATCAAAATAACATCAAAGATATGTTTGCCTAAATCATATATTATACAATATGGTGCTGCTTGTATCATTTTTCCTTGATCTGTAGCTTTTGAAAGACTTGTGAATGTTTAATTTTGTGTAAATCATTGCTCTTTGCACAAAGTACCACATATTTAAGATTGATGTAAATTTACCATTACAAATATGTATTTTAAGAAAGAAAATTACATTATTTTGGAGGGTACTTTGTGAGAAAGGCATCGAGTAAAATTATGCTATGTACATCACTTGCAAATCACCAAAAACACTCCATTATTGCCCAAAATAACTTTTTAAGAGATTTTTTTCCCCATTTTTTCTTTGTTTTAAACAAACTTGGCTTAAAGCCAGTGAGCACATTTTTTTCGAAACCATCCCATCCATCTCCCATAGATAATATTTTTTTTCATATATGTGCCTCCCTGTTTTATTTATTGTAGAAAATGTATTAATTTGCTTTATAATGAAAAATAAATTTGACAAAGTATATTGATATGCATTTTTATACAGGCACGTGAGAAGACAACTTGCTTTGGGAGAAAAATGTATTGGAAATTGTATAAAATGACTTGATGGCTTGTGTGTAATTTGATTTTTTGTAACCTGTATGCCTTTGTTTCCAATGAGGGGATTTATGTAACTTTTAATTTAGAACACTTTGGTAGCAATAGAAACTTTGGATACATTTTTGTATGGTACATGTGATGTATATAGAATTAGTACTTTATTTTTATTTTTAAGAAGTAAAGCATTATGTATGGGTGTGGGAAAAGAAAGAAGGGGGGGTTTCCAGAACTGCATTTTTTTATATTAAAAAAATAAAGTCAAGATATTGATTGTTGTAGCTACTTTATTCCTACGTTCACTGAAATACTGAATTTGTAACAATGAAAATGGCAAGGTATGTTTGCAATGTGATTTATAATGACTCCATTATTTATAAATGCACTGTGTTGAACTCTCTTTTGCAGTGATATCTTAAATACTGTACCAAGTTATATAATATGCAACACCAAATAATGCATATGAATGCACAAAGTATTTATGCCCAGCTTTTTTTAAATAATGGATTAGCGAATACAGCAAAACCAATACTTTTAAAATCTTTTTTTAATTCATTGAATAGCATTCTGCATTGTTAAACCTGCTTGAATCTTTATTTTAAAGGGACAGTAAATTACTTTTTAAATACTTTTTGATGTTTTTATTCTCTATGGTTTGTAATACCCCTTTAGAAACTTGAAATAAAATTTCTTTCTCAACTGATAATTTTGTCCTGCATTTGGCCCCTGTGGAATCTTGGTTTAGTGTCCATTCTCCCAGAGGTAAATTTGATTGTTAAGGAACTGCTACCATGTCATTAACTTAATCCCTTTCTGGCTGTTTCATAAAGAGGGAAAGTGTCATCTTGTGCGGGGGCCACTGCTATCTATTCCAACAAGCCTCTTCTGAAGAGACTGGTGTTTGAGGCTGCATTATCCAAGACCAGTCTCCTATGCTGAACTCTAGTACTTTCAAGGATTCCCTGGTTAAAAAGCAGTTTGGGCTTTGAAAAATTGGTCATGCATTTGCTGACTGCCTTCCCTAGTCATGGCAGAAAATATTGATATCTTACTTTGTGCAGGAATGGAGATGGCCATGCATCCAATTAGGATAATATTTAAAGGTCTATGATATGATACTGATAATGCATCTGAGGTAGAAACCCAAAAGGTAAACTTGATTGTTTGCTTGAAGGTTCTTCCAGTGGGCTGGAGGAGCTGTTGTATGCCCATATTCACCTCTTGGGGAGCGAGCAAAAAAAATGGAGCCCAGTTTGACAAAGACAAGAAAAATTAAAGCCACGCTTAAGTCCTTGAGTCTGCTACTTAACTTTAAATATCTGTCTCATACTAAACTAAGAGTAAGGATCAATTTTTCTGAAAATGCCAGTTGAAATGTTCCCAATACCCTCAAAGATGGCATATCTAATGGTGTGACAATTCTCAGACTCATATCAGTAAGTAGCAAAAACTAATGTTTTTTGAGGCTTTCTGAAGCATCCCCAGAGAATCTAAGGGTAGGTCTATACCCAGCCGCTAGTTCGGCGGCTGGCAATCGAACTTCTGGGTTCGACTTATCGCGTCTTGTCTGGAC